AAGTATTGGTACAGGAATGGACAAAATGAAAACTTATCTGTGCTCCTTGAAACTTACTGTCAATGAGGATTCTGGCTGGCATACCTGTACAGAAAGACTCCCTGGGCCTGGAACAATGATCCCTCTTGGATCCTCTTAAACATTTCCGTAGGGACTTTATTTATTATTTTTTTTTCATATTTATTTTATAGAAGACTATGGGGACAGAGAAAATACTTTTTCTATCATACCTGAGTGCAAAGTCCTGGCATCTTTCCAAGTTTTCCTCTGTTTCCTCTGTATAGATCTCAAAATATTTTATCCCAGTTTACTTTTTTTGTTCTTTAGCTTGTTTTACAGATACTTTGATTTTCTCCAGGGCTATTTCTACTTAGCAAAATATAAGGATCTTGCACCTCATCTGTCATCTATGGGTAGCCTGTCATGCAGCATGGGCATGGTTCAAGAAGCTTGTCCATTCTTCAGGGGGTATTAGAATACTTTCATGTCTGCACACCAGCTCAATGTGGGCAAGACTGTGGCTGAGATTTGGCTTTTGCCTCTCATCTTTTCTGCCTGTTTATCAACACACACTTCCTCCGCTGGGTGCTCAATGTCCTCAACGTATTTACAGTGGAGCAGCACCATGGCAGATCTGCCTCTGCCTGAGTTAAAGAATTTAATTAAAGAGTACAGGCCAGACAATTATTAATTCTCCCACTTTGGGGGATTGAGCTGGGTGTGGGGGCCAAGTATGAAATAAACAACCTCACCCATGTCATGGGAATGAAGATGAGATCGCACCAAGCTCATCCTCAGCACATGCCCTGCCCCAGACAATGCAAGTAGACAACACAACAAGGAATATAGCCAAAATTTCCAAATCCAGTAGTTTACGTCAATTTTTACTGCGCTAGTCCTTTATTTACACTTTTTCTTTAGAAATGTTACTAACAGAGAGTTGAGGTATTGGACCTTGAAGTGTATTTACAAATAATGAAGCCATTTCTCTTTGGCTCTTCTAGCGACATGGATTCAGTGGGTTCCATTGTGGTTTTAGTGACTGCGCTGATGTACCATATGGGACAAAGGGAGTTTTGGGAAACAAAGACTGTTGTTTTGTTTGGTTCCGAGGCTAACATAGATTAAAGGGCAGCACATCAGAGCCTGCCAAGGAGAAACCAACATAAAGTCTGACTTTCTTTGCAATTTGAGAGACTAGTCCATCTAGGTGAGGATTAAAACATTTGTGAATGTCGAATACACTTTTTTTCCATGTGTAAGCTTTCACTTCTATTTCTTATGCAAGGATAAATGACAGACCACTCATGAATTTTTATAAGCACGCACTCCAACAACCAAAACATTATATATAAAAAACAAATTTCTAAAATGATATTTACTTTGGGGGTATACTCTGCTGGGCAAACAGTTCAACTCATATCAGGAATCATTAATAAGTCATATCCAGGTCTGAAATATGAAACAGACCATGTCTGTTATCCAGGCTTTTAAAAAGACAGGGCAAGCCAAGAAAGCGGGG